ACCTAGTTTTTCATCCGAGATGACTCATGTTCGAAGTCATCCGAGCTATCAACTAGAAAAAGCATCCTGACCAAGTTTGATGATGATTGAGGCAAAAATGTGACTGCTGGGAGTGTTAACAATGTTTTTCTATTTTTAGCTCTGTTGACCTAGTTTTTCATCCGAGATGACCCATGTTCGAACTCATCCGAGCTATCACCCTCTAGACAAACATCTTGACCAAGTTTGATGATGATTGAGGCAAAAATGTGACCTCTAGAGTGTTAACAAGGTTTTTTCTATTTTTAGCTCTTGTGACCTAGTTTTTCATCTGAGATGACCCATGTTCGAAACTCATCCGAGCTATCAACTAGATAAGCATCCTGACCAAGTTTGATGATGATTGAGGCAAAAATGCGACAGCTAGAGTGTTAACAACTAAATGTGAACGGATGACGGACAATCATCGATCCTAAAAGCTCACCCTGAGCATGCTCAGGTGAGCTAAAAACTACAACCCATATTTAACTTAATCAAAACACTGTCTATATAGCAGTACAATTAATCTGTTAATTGAGTACATACGTGTCTTAACATCAAGTAAATGTCTAACAAACCCTCCATTGTCTAGTTTTCTTATCAGATCTTTTCCCTTTAATTCTTCAAGCTGTTCCATCACCACACTTTCCTCCGCAAAAATCTATCCTGTAATAAAATTGTTCAAAAATTTACTTGGGATTAGTTAACCCATGACCTGCAGGAATTGAAGGTGATTGGCCTTTTGCCATCAACTTAGAGTCATGTCTGCCTGCATGTCCATATGACTAGGTTTTGTGTTGTTGTAGCTCAATTTTTGTAATTTGATACAGAAATCTCGTAAACTTTGAATGGACTATTTCAATGTCAAAGCATGGCTAATCTATTTCACTAATTCTTCAGGTCAAGGGATATGGACTACTATTCTGTATTATCATTCTGCCAGTACCCCGGTATTAAAATAGTGAGCATTTTCTTAAAATTCTGTTTCTTTCTTCCAGGACTGCAGAGTTTACATAGACACATCTAAGAGGTATCAAATCATTTTTTCAAGTACCTGATAAGATCTTTAACTGACAAAATGTTGGGATAAAACTGATTCTAGTACATGTAGCAACATCTCACGTACAATTTCTTCCCATGGCCTCAAATCTTGCTTTATTGGTATCTGAAAAAATATCATTACACATTAAAACACTAACTGTATACAATTTGTTTAACCTGTCACATCAAGGATGAAACAGTAGAAAATTGAAGACAAGTCTATAACTCTGTCATCTGATTGGCTGACATTCAGCCTAAGAAGGAATTTCAACCAATGGTTGCATTGTATTCGAAGACTGGTTTCCCTTACACAGTTAATTTATAATATTGTGACATGCAAAACAACTTTGAACATAGTTAAATCATCTGTTTTGTTATAGCATCTTTCAATTCACATTGTACAAATATTTTCTATCATTAAAACACAATAACAACACAATAAAGGTCAGATATTACAGCTAAATAAGAACACACATTAATTTACAATTTAACTTATCATGAACACAAACACAATAATTTACAATTTAACTTAATGCGCACACAATACTTTCAATAAATACCAATTTTTTTACATTTTGACATGACAAAGAAGTTCTTTTTTCTGACTGGCAAATCCCTTAACCTTTCCCATACAAATCATGCACCTTTAACTAATATTTACAGTATGTATATCTAAATGTAGCACTATTCACAACTTCCCTATAGAGGACCATAACAGTCTATTGCCTTGCATTATCATTTAAATCAATTTAATTTAATTTAATTCAATTTCATTTAAACAGAAAAGTATATTCATAATGGAGGAAAAACGATACAAAATTTCACAATTACAACATTAAACAAGAGGGCCATGATGGCCCTAAGGTCGTTCACCTGTACATATGCCACCGAAGCGGGGCCAGTGTAAACCCCAGGGCTTTCAATTTACAGAATATTTGGATCACAACAGTAGCCACTAGAGTGTTAACAAGATTTTTCTATTTTTAGCTCCTGTGACCTAGTTTTTCATCCGAGATGACCCATGTTCGATTAAATCCCAGCAATGACCTAGACAAGTTTCCTGACCAAGTTTGATGACACTTGTGTCAAAAATGTGACCGCTAGAGTGTTAACAAGATTTTTCTATTTTTAGCTCCTGTGACCTAGTTTTTCATCTGAGATGACCCATGTTCAAACTCATCCAAGCTATCACCTAGACAAGCATCCTGACTAAGTTTGATGATGATTGAGGCACAAATGTGACCGCTAGAGTGTTAACAAGGTTTTTCTATTTTTAGCTCCGGTGACCTACTTTTTCATCCGATATGACCCATGTTCGAACTCATCCAAGCTATCACCTAAACAAGCATCCTGACTAAGTTTGATGATGATTGAGACAAAAATATGACCGCTAGAGTGTTAACATGGTTTTTCTATTTTTAGCTCTTGTGACCTAGTTCTTCATCCGAGATGACCCATGTTCAAACTCATCCAAAGCTATCACCTAGACAAGCATCCTGACCAAGTTTGATGATGATTGAGGCAAAAATGTGACCGCTGGAGTGTTAACCAGGTTTTTCTATTTTTTAGCTCCAGTGACCTAGTTTTTCATCCCAGATGACCCATATTCAAACTCATCCGAGCTATCACCTAGACAAGCATCTTGACCAAGTTTGATGATGATTCATGCAAAAATGTGACCGCTAGAGTGTTAACAAGGTTTTTCTATTTTTAGCTCTGGTGACCTACTTTTTCATCCGAGATGAGCCATGTTCGTACTCATCCAAGCTATCACCTAGACAAACATCCTGACCAAGTTTGATGATGATTGAGGCAAAATTGTGACCGCTAGAGTGTGAACAAGGTTTTTTCTATTTTTAGCTCTTGTGACCTAGTTTTTCATCCGAGATGACCCATGTTCGAACGCATCCGAGCTATCAACTAGATAGGCATCCTGACCAAGTTTGATGATGATTGAGGCAAAAATGTGACTGCTGGAGTGTTAACAATGTTTTTCTATTTTTAGCTCCGTTGACCTAGCTTTTCATCCGAGATGACCCATGTTCTAACTCATCCGAGCTATCAACTAGATAAGCATCCTGACCAAGTTTGATGATGATTGAGGCAAAAATGCGACAGCTAGAGTGTTAACAACTAAATGTGAACGGATGACGGACAATCATCGATCCTAAAAGCTCACCCTGAGCATGCTCAGGTGAGCTAAAAACTACAAACCCATTTTCACTTAATCAAAACACTGTCTATAAGCAGTACAATTAATCTGTTAATTGAGTACATACGTGTCTGAACATCAAGTAAATGTCTAACAAACCCTCCATTGTCTAGTTTTCTAATCAGATCTTTTCCCCTTAATTCTTCAAGCTGTTCCATCACCACACTTTCCTCCGCAAAATCTATCCTGTAATAAAATTGTTCAAAAAATTTACTTGGGATTAGTTAACCCATGACCTGCAGGAATTGAAATGATTGGCCTTTTGCCATCAACTTAGAGTCATGTCTGCCTGCATGTCCATGCAATATGACTAGGTTTTGTGTTGTTGGTAGCTCAATTTTTGTACATTGTAATTTGATACAGAAATCTCGTAAACTTTGAATGGACTATTTCAATGTCAAAAGCATGGCAAATCTATTTCACTAATTCTTCAGGTCAAGGGATATGGACTACTATTCTGTATTATCATTCTGCCAGTACCCCGGTATTAAAATAGTGAGCATTTTCTTAAAATTCTGTTTCTTTCTTCTAGGACTGCAGAGTTTACATAGACACATCTAAGAGGTATCAAATCATTTTTCAAATACCTGATAAGATCTTTAACTGACAAAATGTTGGGATAAAACTGATTCTAGTACATGTAGCAAACATCTCACGTACAATTTCTTCCCGTGGCCTCAAATCTTGCTTTGTGGTACCTGAAAAAATATCATTACACATTAAACACTAACTGTATACAATTTGTGTTTAACCTGTCACATCAAGGATGAAACAGTAGAAATTGAAGACAAGTCTATAACTCTGTCATCTGATTGGCTGACATTCACGCCTAAGAAGGAATTTCAACCAATGGTTGCATTGTATTCGAAAGACTGGTTTTCCTTACACAGTTAATTTATAATATTGTGACATGCAATATAACTTTGAACATAGTTAAATCATCTGTTTTGTCTTATAGCATCTTTCAATTCACATTGTACAAATATTTTCTATCATTAAAAACAATAACAAACACAATAAAGGTCAGATATTACAGCTAAATGAGAACACACATTAATTTACAATTTAACTTATCATGAACACAAACACAATAATTTACAATTTAAACTTAATGCGAACACAATACTTTCAATAAATAACCAATTTTTTTACATTTTGACATGACAAAGAAGTTCTTTTTTCTGACTGGCAAATCCCTTAGCCTTTCCATACAAATCATGCACCTTTAAACTAATATTTACAGTATGTATCCCAGCAGGCACTCAACGTTTGTTTCAACGTTGAAACAACGTTGAAATATGGTCGTGACGTTGTTCAACCAATATTCAACTATGGGCGACCATACGGATATATTGCCAATGTATATTCAACGTTGATTCAACGTTGTTTATGGTCGAAGTTTAACATTTAGTTTAATCATTAAATAAACTTTTATACCACTAATTTTGTGTTATTATTCCTTTATTGAATAAGTCAGTAAGTGATTTTTATCAGGAAAATGTGCGTTACAATCTTTTTCCGGATATTCAAAATTAGCGCCCTAAACAAATAAAGTTGGAGATAATTTTTCACTTTCTATTAACGCTTTTAATATTAGTAAATATGTTTTGTTGTATGTTTTTTTTTTAATTCTTCATGAATAATATTAATTAATCAATTGATATTAGTCAAAACCCCGTTTATAAAATAACGCTGGTCAGGGAAGTAATTGTTGTGGCCTGATTTTATTTGTTGTCTATGATTATCGTTCGTGCAAATGGTTGGCGCTGTTTCGAAATTTAAAAAACAACACGATTCGGCAATTTATTTGGGATTTCGGAAGGTATTACCGTAATGTTTAACTTAAAGTTTACTGAATTATTTTCTAAATTAATTATTATTATTTAAAAATTTCTTCTTTAATTATTTCATGAAATAAATGAGAGATGAAAACAACATGATTGAGTTTGATTTGACACGTATTCGCGACCTAATTAAATGATTTTGGGTCGGTAGGCCTTGAAACACGAAGTAATTGACTGTCTTTTGCAATTTATGATTTTACAAATCTTGTGTCTTCTTTAATTTATTTTTCATATTTTTTACTATTATCCTAATTAAAAATTTAACTCAATTATAAAATTGAAAAACCTAAATAAAGTAGTTCGGCCCACATAATTTAGCGTACCAAAGACGATTCGTCAATATAACTATGTTTATATTTTAAGTGATAGTATAATACAGTGTTAATTAGTTTGAAAAAAAAAACAAGATTATTATGAAGTTAAATTACAAAGTTAAGTGTTAAAACTTTATAATTTTAATAGTCATAAATTCTATAGTGAATAATAAATCTATTTCTATATAATATTATATATTATTTTATATTTTAGATCCTGGTCCCGGCTGAAATTTAGAGTATTGGCACTATTGCAGCTGTAGCCTGTAATACCATACATTCAACATGAACAGGACTGTCAGTTTGTTAAAAATTGAAATTAATTCTTATTAATTTATATATTTGAATTTCTTTACAATACAAAGTATAAATTTTTCAACTACTGGATATTTATCTTGTCTTAAAATATATTATTTTCAGAATATTCCTGTAACATTATTAACATCAAATTTACATGTTTGTTGATTTCAGGATGCTGCATAAAATGGTCTTAGCTAGAGCCTAGAATGATAATTTCTTGGGAATATGCTGCAAGTAACTGACGGGGAGCAGTTTTTTTACCAATCATAGGTGAGACTTTTAGACTTTTTTTTTTTGAAAGATTTTTTTGTTTTATGTACATTATTTGCTGTCAATATGAAACTTAGCTATGTTTCAAGTTTCTATGCTGTTTTATGGTGTAAATCTTAGAGATAAGCATTTTAAGATAAAAAAAAATCACTAAAGTTGAGTAATTATGTGTATAATTTGAGATTGACCAAGTCACTGTTAACTACAAACTTCTTCTTATTTTTATTTGCAGAAGCAGTAAGAGACAGCCAAAGAAGTACTCAAACACTTGACATACCCAGAAAGATCTAGAAGAAAAGATTGGAACAGATTGTAGCTTAATTGTTAAACTATTAAAGTGAATTTATGCTGCACTTGAACTGTATTTTTGAAATAAAATATCTGAAGTATTTAATATTGTCTTTGATATTTTGTTAAAATATGGTTACTTTGCTTTATATCCAAAAATTAATGTATGGTGGGTTTTCAACGTTGAAATGACATTGAAAACTTCAACGTCTTGTACCAACGTTGAAGCTGCAACGTTGTATCAACGTTGAAATTTCAACGTTGTTTCAACTTTCAAATCCGAATATAAATCCAACCTTATTTCAACGTTGAAATCTGACCATAATTCAACGTTGAAAACAACGTTGATGTGCCTGCTGGGATATCTAAATGTAGCAATATTCACAACTTCCCTATAGAGGACCATAACAGTCTATTGCCTTGCATTATCATTTAATTCAATTTAATTTAATTTAATTCAATTTCATTTAAACAGAAAAGTATATTCATAATGGAGGAAAAACGAAACAAAATTTCACAATTACAACATTAAACAAGAGTGCCATGATGGCCCCAAGGTCGCTCACCTGTATATAGGCCCCCGAAGTGGGGCCAGTGTAAACCCCAGGGCTTTCAATTTACAGAATATTTGGATCACAACAGTAGCCACTAGAGTGTTAACAAGATTTTTCTACTTTTAGCTCCTGTGACATAGTTTTTCATCCGAGATGACCCATGTTCGATTAAATCCCAGCAATGACCTAGAAAAGTTTCCTGACCAAGTTTGATGACAATCGAGTCAAAATTGTGACCACTGGAGTGTTAACAAGGTTTTTCTATTTTTAGCTCCTGTGACCTAGTTTTTCATCCGAGATGACCCATGTTCGAACTCATCCGAGCTATCAACTAGATAAGCATCCTGACCAAGTTTGATGATGATTGAGGCAAAAATGCGACAGCTAGAGTGTTAACAACTAAATGTGAACGGATGACGGACAATCATCGATCCTAAAAGCTCACCCTGAGCATGCTCAGGTGAGCTAAAAACTACAACCCATATTCACTTAATCAAAACACTGTCTATATAGCAGTACAATTAATCTGTTAATTGAGTACATACGTGTCTTAACATCAAGTAAATGTCTAACAAACCCTCCACTGTCTAGTTTTCTAATCAGATCTTTTCCCCTTAATTCTTCAAGCTGTTCCATCACCACACTTTCCTCCGCAAAATCTATCCTGTAATAAAATTGTTCAAAAATTTACTTGGGATTAGTTAACCCATGACCTGCAGGAATTGAAGGTGATTGGCCTTTGCCATCAACTTAGAGTCATGTCTGCCTGCATGTCCATGCAATATGACTAGGTTTTGTGTTGTTGGTAGCTCAATTTTTGTAATTTGATACAGAAATCTCGTAAACTTTGAATGGACTATTTCAATGTCAAAGCATGGCAAATCTATTTCACTAATTCTTCAGGTCAAGGGATATGGACTACTATTCTGTATTATCATTCTGCCAGTACCCCGGTATTAAAATAGTGAGCATTTTCTTAAAATTCTGTTTCTTTCTTCTAGGACTGCAGAGTTTACATAGACACATCTAAGAGGTATCAAATCATTTTTCAAGTACCTGATAAGATCTTTAACTGACAAAATGTTGGGATAAACTGATTCTAGTACATGTAGCAACATCTCACGTACAATTTCTTCCCATGGCCTCAAATCTTGCTTTGTGGTACCTGAAAAAATATCATTACACATTAAAACACTAACTGTATACAATTTGTTTAACCTGTCACATCAAGGATGAAACAGTAGAAATTGAAGACAAGTCTATAACTCTGTCATCTGATTGGCTGACATTCAGCCTAAGAAGGAATTTCAACCAATGGTTGCATTGTATTCGAAGACTGGTTTCCTTACACAGTTAATTTATAATATTGTGACATGCAATATAACTTTGAACATAGTTAAATCATCTGTTTTGTTATAGCATCTTTCAATTCACATTGTACAAATATTTTCTATCATTAAAACACAATAACAACACAATAAAGGTCAGATATTACAGCTAAATGAGAACACACATTAATTTACAATTTAACTTATCATGAACACAAACACAATAATTTACAATTTAACTTAATGCGAACACAATACTTTCAATAAATACCAATTTTTTTACATTTTGACATGACAAAGAAGTTCTTTTTTCTGACTGGCAAATCCCTTAGCCTTTCCCATACAAATCATGCACCTTTAACTAATATTTACAGTATGTATCCCAGCAGGCACTCAACGTTGTTTCAACGTTGAAACAACGTTGAAATATGGTCGTGACGTTGTTCAACCAATATTCAACTATGGGCGACCATACGGATATATTGCCAATGTATATTCAACGTTGATTCAACGTTGTTTATGGTCGAAGTTTAACATTTAGTTTAATCATTATATAAACTTTTATACCACTAATTTTGTGTTATTATTCCTTTATTGAATAAGTCAGTAAGTGATTTTTATCAGGAAAATGTGCGTTACAATCTTTTTCCGGATATTCAAAATTAGCGCCTAAACAAATAAAGTTGGAGATAATTTTTCACTTTCTATTAACGCTTTTAATATTAGTAAATATGTTTTGTTGTATGTTTTTTTTTAATTCTTCGTGAATAATATTAATTAATCAATTGATATTAGTCAAAACCCCGTTTATAAAATAACGCTGGTCAGGGGAAGTAATTGTTGTGGCCTGATTTTATTTGTTGTCTATGATTATCGTTCGTGCAAATGGTGGCGCTGTTTCGAAATTTAAAAAACAACACGATTCGGCAATTTATTTGGATTTCGGAGGTATTACCGTAATGTTTTACTTAAGTTTACTGATTATTTTCTAAATTATTATTATTTATTCTTAAAATTCTTCTTTAATTTATTTTATAAAATAAATGAGAGATGAAAATACATGATTGAGTTGATTTGACACGTTTTCGCGACCTAATTAAATGATTTGGGTTCGGTAGGCCTTGTAAACACGAAGTAAAAAGTAGTTCGGCCCACATAATTTACGTACCAAGACGATTCGTCAATATAACTATGTTTATATTTTAGTGATAGTATAATACAGTGTTAATTAGTTTGAAAAAAAACAACATTATTATGAAGATAAATTACAAAGTTAAGTGTTAAACTTTATAATTTTAATAGTCATAAATTTATAGTGAATAATAAATCTATTTCTATAATATTATATATTATTTTATATTTTAGATCCTGGTCCCGGCTGAAATTTAGAGTATTGGCACTATTGCAGCTGTAGCCTGTATACCATACATTCAACATGAACAGGACTGTCAGGTTTGTTAAATTGAAATTAATTCTTATTAATTTATATATTTGAATTTCTTTACAATACAAAGTATAAATTTTTCAACTACTGGATATTTATCTTGTCTTAAAATATATTATTTTCAGAATATTCCTGTAACATTATTAACATCAAATTTACATGTTTGTTGATTTCAGGATGCTGCATAAAATGGTCTTAGCTAGAGCCTAGAATGATAATTTCTTGGGAATATGCTGCAAGTAACTGACGGGGAGCAGTTTTTTTACCAATCATAGGTGAGACTTTTAGACTTTTTTTTTTGAAAGATTTTTTTTGTTTTATGTACATTATTTGCTGTCAATATGAAACTTAGCTATGTTTCAATTTCTATGCTGTTTTATGGTGTAAATCTTAGAGATAAGCATTTTAAGATAAAAACAAATCACTAAGTTGAGTAATTATGTGTATAATTTGAGATTGACCAAGTCACTGTTAACTACAAACTTCTTATTTTTATTTGCAGAAGCAGTAAGAGACAGCCAAAGAAGTACTCAAACACTTGACATACCCAGAAAGATCTAGAAGAAAAGATTGGAACAGATTGTAGCTTAATTGTTAAACTATTAAAGTGAATTTATGCTGCACTTGAACTGTATTTTTGAAATAAAATATCTGAAGTATTTAATATTGTCTTGATATTTTGTTAAAATATGGTTACTTTGCTTTATATCCAAAAATTAATGTATGGTGGGTTTTCAACGTTGAAATGACATTGAAACTTCAACGTTGTACCAACGTTGAAGCTGCAACGTTGTATCAACGTTGAAATTTCAACGTTGTTTCAACTTTCAAATCCGAATATAAATCCAACCTTATTTCAACGTTGAAATCTGACCATAATTCAACGTTGAAACAACGTTGATGTGCCTGCTGGGATATCTAAATGTAGCAATATTCACAACTTCCCTATAGAGGACCATAACAGTCTATTGCCTTGCATTATCATTTAATTCAATTTAATTTAATTTAATTCAATTTCATTTAAACAGAAAAGTATATTCATAATGGAGGAAAAACGATACAAAATTTCACAATTACAACATTAAACAAGAGGGCCATGATGGCCCTAAGGTCGCTCACCTGTATATAGGCCCCCGAAGCGGGGCCAGTGTAAACCCCAGGGCTTTCAATTTACAGAATATTTGGATCACAACAGTAGCCACTAGAGTGTTAACAAGATTTTTCTATTTTTAGCTACTGTGACCTAGTTTTTCATCCGAGATGACCCATGTTCGATTAAATCCCAGCAATGACCTAGACAAGTTTCCTGACCAAGTTTGATGACAATCGAGTCAAAATTGTGACCACTAGAGTGTTAACAAGGTTTTTCTATTTTTAGCTCCTGTGACCTAGTTTTTAATCCGAGATGACCCATGTTCGAACTCATCCGAGCAAGTACCTAGACAAGCATCCTGATCAAGTTTGATGACACTTGTGTCAAAAATGTGACCGCTAGAGTGTTAACAAGATTTTTCTATTTTTAGCTCCTGTGACCTAGTTTTTCATCTGAGATGACCCATGTTCGAACTCATCCAAGCTATCACCTAGACAAGCATCCTGACCAAGTTTGATGATGATTGAGGCACAAATGTGACCGCTAGAGTGTTAACAAGGTTTTTCTATTTTTAGCTCCGGTGACCTACTTTTTCATCCGATATGACCCATGTTCGAACTCATCCAAGCTATCACCTAGACAAGCATCCTGACTAAGTTTGATGATGATTGAGACAAAAATGTGACCGCTAGAGTGTTAACATGGTTTTTCTATTTTTAGCTCTTGTGACCTAGTTCTTCATCCGAGATGACCCATGTTCAAACTCATCCAAGCTATCACCTAGACAAGCATCCTGACCAAGTTTGATGATGATTGAGGCAAAAATGTGACCGCTGGAGTGTTAACAAGGTTTTTCTATTTTTAGCTCCGGTGACCTAGTTTTTCATCCCAGATGACCCATATTCGAACTCATCCGAGCTATCACCTAGACAAGCATCTTGACCAAGTTTGATGATGATTCATGCAAAAATGTGACCGCTAGAGTGTTAACAAGGTTTTTCTATTTTTAGCTCCGGTGACCTACTTTTTCATCCGAGATGAGCCATGTTCGTACTCATCCAAGCTATCACCTAGACAAACATCCTGACCAAGTTTGATGATGATTGAGGCAAAATTGTGACCGCTAGAGTGTTAACAAGGTTTTTCTATTTTTAGCTCCTGTGACCTAGTTTTTCATCCGAGATGACCCATGTTCGAACTCATCCGAGCTATCAACTAGATAAGCATCCTGACCAAGTTTGATGATGATTGAGGCAAAAATGCGACAGCTAGAGTGTTAACAACTAAATGTGAACGGATGACGGACAATCATCGATCCTAAAAGCTCACCCTGAGCATGCTCAGGTGAGCTAAAAACTACAACCCATATTTACTTAATCAAAACACTGTCTATATAGCAGTACAATTAATCTGTTAATTGAGTACATACCTGTCTTAACATCAAGACGATATCTAACAAACCCTCCACAGTCTAGTTGTCTAATCAGATCTTTTCTCCTTAATTCTTCAAGCTGTTCCATCACCACTCTTTCCTCCGCAAAATCTATCCTGTAATAAAATTGTTCAAAAATTTACTTGGGATTAGTTAACCCATGACCTGCAGGAATTGAAGGTGATTGGCCTTTGCCATCAACTTAGAGTCATGTCTGCCTGCATGTCCATGCAATATGACTAGGTTTTGTGTTGTTGGTAGCTCAATTTTTGTAATTTGATACAGAAATCTCGTAAACTTTGAATGGACTATTTCAATGTCAAAGCATGGCAAATCTATTTCACTAATTCTTCAGGTCAAGGGATATGGACTACTATTCTGTATTATCATTCTGCCAGTATTAAAATAGTGAGCATTTTCTTAAAATTCTGTTTCTTTCTTCTAGGATTGCAGTTTACATAGACATATCTAAGAGGTATCAAATCATTTTTCAAGTACCTGATAAGATCTTCAACTGACAAAATGTTGGGATAAGCCGATTCTAGTACATGTAGCAACTTCTCACGTACAATTTCTTCCCATGGCCTCAAGTCTTGCTTTGTGATACCTGAAAAAATATCATTACACATTAAAACACTATCCAACAATATACAAATTGTAGAACCTGTCACATCAAGGAAGAAACACTAGAAATTGTAGACAAGTCTACAACTCTGTCATCTGATTGGCTGACATCCAGCCTAAGAATAATTTCAACAAATGGTTGCATTGTATTCAAAGACTGGTTTCCTTACACAGTTAATTTATAATATTGTGACATGCAATATAACTTTGAACATAGTTAAATCATTATCATTTAATTCAATTTAATTTAATTTTATTCAATTTCATTTAAACAGAAAAGTATATTCATAATGGAGGAAAAACGATACAAAATTTTACAATTACAACATTAAACAAGAGGGCCATCATGGGCCATGATGGCCCTAAGGTCGCTCACCTGTATATAGGCCCACGAAGCAGGGTATTTGGATCAACCACCCTGAAAATTACAATGTTTTCACTTTATTGGTGTATTAGTGAGTAAAGCTCACTATGTGTTTTATCACAGACACCCGTATTTCCACAGGTAAACATCTGCTAATGTAACTTTGTTAAATATTGACTAGGCCTATGAAAACAAGACATGGGGATATCATAGTTTATTTGACATTAGGTATGCACATGTCTTTTGTAAAAATCAGTTTCTGCCTTATTCAAACCCTAATAATTATGTTTATCTCGACATTTCGTTATCTCAATATTTTTTGGACGGTCCGGATGACTTCCAGATAACGAGTGTCGACTGTATCTAAGTTCTAGGCTTTGCACACTCATAGGAGAAGACTTTTAATTTTTTACTATACTTATACATATAAGGAAAATCAATGACCCCCAAGAGTGAGGCCAATTTTGACCCCAGGGCTATAATTTGAACAATTTTTGTAGAGTTTCATCAGATGATGTTTAACACAAAATATCTAAGCTCTAGGCCATGCACTTTAAAGGAGTAGATTTTTTAAAGTTTTTACTACATGTATAAATTGACAAGAGGGCCAAGATTGCCCTAGATCGCTCACCTGACCAATGAAACTCATCAGAGTACTGCAATGTTAAACTATCTTAGAATAAAACGTATCCGAAAATACCTCACTAAAGAAGCAGCTGAAATACTAGTAATAGCACTCGTAATGTCACACTTGGATTATTGCAATGTCATTCTTTATGGTGTATCCGATTTTGAATTGAAAAAAATGCAACGTATTCAAAACATGTGCGCTAAGTTAGTTCTGCAACGAAAGAAATTTGACAGTTCAAGGCAAGCATTGTTCGACCTTCATTGGCTGCCCATCAAATCTAGAATCGAATATAAAATTCTGACTTTTGATAACAATTGTTCAATCGGTCATGCTCCAAAATACCTTTCTGAACTCCTAACCAAACAAGTACCAAATACCCGACTACGTTCAGCTAAAACCTCTGAGAACTGCTACGTTATTCCATTCAATAAAAGAAAAACATTTAGTGACAGAAGTTTCGGAACTATTGGTCCAAAATTGTGGAATCCGCTGTCATTAGAGTTGAAACAATCTAAAAATATTGATGTATTTAAGAGAAATCTTAAAACACATTTTTTCAGAAAGTTTGAATCACTATTTTAAAATCTGAAATGAGATAAACATGAGTAACGTATAACTGATGACTGACAGTGTGATGAATGTGCAATGTAAATGAATATTTTATTCTTTTTAATCTATTTGTAATCAAGTTACATGTATGTAAATAATCTTATCTCATGCTACATGTATATCAGTTTTATCATTTTATGGTCTCTAAATTTTTTTAAAAATATGTTAATTGGAATTGTATGTAAAAGCTTTTATTTCATTTGATGTTGATCCACATATTCTTATGCATTCACAATTTTATTCTTATTATATTATATGTACTGTACAACGCCGTTGAATATTGTTAAATAGAAACAGGTGTTTAATTAAATAAAAAGTTTCAAGTTTCAGAGTTATTACTTAGGCAAGCATCCTGACCAAATTTGATGACAATTGAGTCAAAATTGTGACCACTTAAGTGTTAACAAGGTTTTTCCATATTTGGGCAGTTTGACCCCAGGTGACCCATATTCGAACTTGACCTAGAAATCATCAAAACAAGAACTGGTCGAACCGGGTGATGCTCCCCAAGTAAGTTTTGGACACAGAAAAGTATACCTCTTGAAGTGTCAGAGTTATGTCCCTGACAAAGTTCAAAGTGTACAAATGGCAATTACTCCAAAATTAAGCAAAGCAGTTAAGTTTCTTTTGTGCTGCACTTCTATTTAATGAGATCAATCTAACTACAAACCTCTTATGGTTTCAGAGCTATGTATTGGACAAAGTTCAAAGTGAAAAAAAATTACCAAAGGGGCAATTACTTCAAAACAAGAGGGCCATGATGGCCCAAAGTCGCTCACCTGTATATAGGCCCCCGGAGCGGGGCCAGTTTAAACCCCAGGGCTTTTATTTGAACAAACTTGGTTGACACCCATTAGAAGATGTTTCATGCTAAACATCTAAGGTCTAGCTTATTGGGTTTTTTAAAAGAAGATTTTTCATGTATGTGTATATATATATATAGATAAAAATTATAATGTTTAAGAAATAACAAACTCTATGTAAAATCGGTAGCGCTTTCAATGCTTTCTTGGCATATCTTCAGCCGAAACTTTAATAAACAATAAACATATAAACAAATGACGTAACGTCATGAAGAAAAGCGGGAACGTTAAATGATAACGTATTTCCCGGCAAACACAATATGGTTATTTATACTGAAAAATTATAATATTACGGACATTGAGCATAATCCGTACAATCTGGCAGTGAATTAATGACATTTATTAAAGGGAGGTAATAAAATTCACAAGTTAATAATTTTATGGCCACAAATTGTATGGTAATTAACAATTTTTACTCAATAAAGATTGGTAAATAAACGAACAATTGGACTGAATAAAATCACAAGCGTTTCTTTCATAATTAAAAATGAAGAGATTGTAATAAATATGAAGTACTTGTATATATATACCCTGTTAAACGATTATCACCAATGAGCATTTAGCTGTGGTTTTAATAACTTGATTAAAAGTTTTTCTTTTTCTTCTCTAAAATTGTCACTTTCGATTAACATCTTATATAGAGGGAAAATGCTAAATTTACCTCCTGAACAATTATGTAAATGTTTATTTACTTTTAACATTCTGAGTTCTTCAGTGTTTGTTTGTTGCCTATGTAAAGTCATACGTTTACATAATTCATTTTTTGTTTGGCCAATATAAAACTGTTTACAGTTGTCACAAATTATTGAATATATCACATTTTTTGAAACACAGTTCATACTTTGTTTTATCTTAAATGTCTTACTGTTACAAAATTGTATTTCATTTCCTTCTATTAGAGAAGGACATGTCTTACACCTACTCCTGTTGCATTTAGAAATTGTTGTTACAGTATTATTTGTCATGTCGAACTTTGAAGAGGTTAAGATGTTTTGAAGATTTTTTGCTTGTCTTTTACTGTTTATAATGCGCTTCTTTTCTAAAACACTGTTCATCCTTTCACTTTTTCGTAACACATTCTCACAAGATCGAATTGCTTGGGAAATATTGGTATTTTTGGGATTAAATGTTGTTACACATGGGATAACGTTGTACTTGTTGTTGTTGTACTTGCCGGGAAATACGTTATCATTTAACGTTCCCGCTTTTCTTCATGACGTTACGTCATTTGTTTATATGTTTATTGTTTATTAAAGTTTCGGCTGAAGATATGCGAAGAAAGCATTGAAAGCGCTACCGATTTTACATAGAGTTTGTTATTTCTTAAACATTATAATTTTATCTATTTCAACACTGCACAAGGACCATTTATCACATTTTAATATATATATATATATATATATATATATATATATATATATATATATATATATATGTATATGTATGTATGTATGTATGTATGTATATATATATATATATATATATATATATATATATATATATATATATACATACATATATATATATAATATATACATAATATGTATACATATATATATCTATATACATATATATGTGTATGTATCTATATTGTTATATATATATATATATGTATGTATCTATATTGTATATATATATATATATATATCATATATATATATATATATAATATGTATATATATATATATATATGTATGTATATATATAATATGTATATATCTAAAAAAAAAAAAGTCGAGCTAATGAATGACCCCTGGGGCGGGGCCAATTTTGACCCCAGGGCTCTTATTTGAATGAACATGGTAGACATCCATTAGAACATGTTTCATGCTAAAATATCTTTAGCTCTAGCTCTTTGCATTCTTTAAAAAGAAATTTTTTTAAGTTTTTACTATATGCATATAGGGAAAATCAATGACCCCCTGGGGCGGGGCCAATTTTGACCCCAGGGCTTTTATTTGAACAAACTTGGTAGACACCCATTAGAAGATGTTTCATGCTAAATATCTTAGCTCTAGCTCTTTGGGTTCTTTAAAAGAAGATTTTTTTTAGGTTTTACTATATACATATAGGGAAAATCAATGACCCCCAGGGCGGGGCCGATTTTAATTCTAGGAACAAAATTTGAACAACTTTGGTTTTTGGACCTATAGATGATACCATAGACCAAAATATCAAAGCTCTAGGCCATTTACTTTCAGACCAGAAGATTTTTCAAGTTTTCACTATATGTATATAATGAAAATCAATGACACCTGAGGGCGGGGCCAATTTTGACCCGAGGGCCATTATTTGAACAATCTTGGTAGAGGTCTACCATACAATGTTTCATGCCAAATATCTTACCTGTAGCCTTTGCCAATTCAGAGTAGAAGATTTTTTTATGTTTTACTATATACATATTAGAAAAACCTATGACCCCCCGGGGCGGGGCCAATTTTGACACTAGGGACAAAATTTGTACAATTTTGGTATTGGACCTTCAGATGATACCATAGACCAAATATCAAATTTCTAGGACATTTACTTTCAGACCAGAAGATTTTTCAAGTTTTCACTATATGTATGTAATGAAAATCAATGACCCCCCGGGGCGGGGCCAATTTTGACCCTAGGGCCATTATTTGAACAATCTTGATAGAGGTCTACTACACAATGTTTCATGCCAAATATCTAATCTGTAGCCTTTGCCAAATCAGAGAAGAAGATTTTTTTAGATTTTACTATATACATATAAGGAAAAACCTATGACCCCCCCCCCCGGGGCGGGGCCAATTTTGACACTAGAGACAAAATTTGAACAACTTTGGTAGAGGACCCATAGATGATACCATATACCAAAAATCAAAGCTCTAGGCCATTTACTTTCAGACCAGAAGATTTTTCAAGTTTTCACTATATGTATGTAATGAAAATCAATGACTCCCCAGGGCGGGCCAATTTTGACCCGAGGGCCATTATTTGAACAATCTTGATAGAGGTCTACTACACAATGTTTCATGCCAAATATCAAATCTGTAGCCTTTGCCAAATCAGAGAAGAAGATTTTTTTAGATTTACCTATAGACATATAAGGAAAAACCTATGACCCCCCCCCCCCCCGGGCGGGGCCAATTTTGACACTAGGGACAAAATTTGAACAACTTTGGTAGAGGACCAA